CCGATGGTCTTCGCCGAGGGAAAACTGCACACGTCCGAGCGACGCCAAGGAACTATAGATGCGCGCCCCCGAGGTCACGATCCCTCGTGCAAGAGCCATGGATCCGCGCCCCCGAGGCCAGGAGCCCCCGTAACAAAAACTAGGGGTCCGAGCCCCCGAGGCCACGGCCCCGCGTGCCAGTTGATGGATCCGCGCGCCCGAGCTTCCAAGACGACCGAGGCAGGTAACCAGGGCAGCAAAGTTGGTCCAGGATGCTTCCAAAAGGCCCACGACGATCCCAAGGCGCTCCATGGTGGCCTCAAGACGGCCCAATATATCCCCAAGACGGCCCAAGAGGGCCACAAGAGGATCCCCATGGGGGTCCGAAGAAGCCAATATCATGCATGCCCATTTGGTTGTTCACACATGTTGGCGTCTTCACCTTTTCGAGCTTCCTGCTGCTCCAGGTGGCCCTCGAGGCCTCTAAGATGGCCCTAAGACGACCCAAGAAGGCCCCTAAACGGCCCAGTGATCCTCTATGACGGCTTCAAGACGGCCCAAGGAGGGCCCCGAGACGACCCAGGACGGCCCGAAGCGAAAAAGAGTAGCCCAAAGGACCCCGAAGACAAAGGGAGGAATACGACGAAGAATCCGCCATCGTGCTCCCTGGCACGTTGAGGCGTGGAGGAAAACCAGGGGCTGTCTGGTAGGGTTGCTGTAATCGAATAAAAGATCGCCCTCCCCCACCCCCCCTTACTAGCAGACTGCTGCGTTCATTCCCCCTATTCACCGAGGCAGCTTCCCCCGTGCCCGCTCGAGGATGGTGCACTTCCAGCATGGCAGCTAATGCCTGAACCCCCCTTCCACGCGTGCCCGCTCGAGGATGGCGCACTTCCAGCATGGCAGCTAATGCCTGACCCCCCCTTCCATGCGTGCCGGTTCGAGAATGGTACACCTCCAGCATGGCAGCTAATGATTAATGCCTGACCCCCCGCTTCCACGCGTGCCCGTTCGAGGATGGTGCACTTCCCGCATGGCAGCTACTGCCTGACCCCACATTCCATGCGCGCCCGCTCGAGGATCGTGCACGTCCCGCATTCCCAGGCGCCGCTCCCAAGCGCTCCAATGCCTCCCGAGCCACGATCCCCCATTACAAACTATGGAGATTCGCCCTGAGCTACCAAGACGGCCCGTGCAGGCAACCAAGGACACCAAGATGGCCTAATATGTCTCGAAGGCGTCCCAAGATGGTCCCACGGCGGCCGAATATTGCTTCAAAATGGCCGAAGATGCCTCCAAGAGGTCCCAGAAGAGCAACAAGAGGACTTTCAACAGGGTCCGAAGAAGCCAGAATCTGTCGACCCTTTGTGGGTTACTCGGCGTGTGAGATTCGACTCTTCCCCCCGAAATCCCCATCCAGGGGCCCCAAACTGGCAATCTGACCCCCCATGGCCCCGGCGGGGTGGCCCTGGCATGAACGCGTCATGGGGGCGCAGAGGGCCAGACGACGGGCCAAGAAGGCCCCAAGAGGCCCGCAAAACGGTTCACGAAGCCCGGAGTCGCCGAAAGATCGCTCGAAGACGCCAAAGATGGCTTCCAGACAGCCCACCATGCCCCCAAGCATCCTCTAACAAGCCCCCAAGAGGGCCTAAAGAAACACACATCGTCCAATCTCCGCAAGAAAACGTGCATTTTCGGCATGTTCGCCTTCTCGGCTGTCTCGACGTCCAAGATGACCCAAGCAGCTCCCAAGACGGCTCTGCGACGGCCCGAAAAGGCCGCAAGACGGGGCCAACTAAGCCCCTGGGACCCCTCCAGGGCTCCTGGGCCGTCCTGGGCCCTTCCTGGGCCGTCCTGGAGTTTCCTCGGGGGCCTCCTGGGCCATCTTGGGAGCCTCTTGGGCCGTCGTGGACGCTAGGAGGCGAATTTGCTGAAAATCTACTCTTTCCTACAGGAATGGGAGGGGCCCTCTTGGAGGACTCTTGGGGCGTCCTGGGGCGCCTTGGGGCAGTCGCGGTGTCATCTTGGGCCGTCTTGGAGCTCTCGTGGAGCGCTTTTGGGGGCCTCGAGGGCGAGTCGAAGGCATCTTGGACTGTCTTGGAAGGGTCTCGGGCTTTCTGGACCTCAGGGGGGGTCGCCCAGGGAGGTCCCTGGGGAGAAAAGGGACCGTCGTACAAGGGGGGGCCTGCCGTGGGCCCAGGGACCCTAATCTTCATGTATAGGTATACGTGTATGTATGCATGTACGTATGCAATGTATGTATGTATGTATGTATGTATGTATGTATGTATGTATGTATGTATGTATGTATGTTAGTATGTATGTATGTATGTATGTATGTATGTATGTATGTATGTATGTATGTATGTATGTGTGTGTATGTATGTATGTATGTATGGATGTGTGTATGTGTGTATGTATGTATGTATGTATGTCTATATGTATATATGTATGTATGTATGGATGGGCGGATGGATGGATGGATGTATGCATGTATGTATGTATGTATATAAATATGTGTGTATGTATGAATGTATGTGTATGTATGTGTATTTGTAGGTGTGCGTGTATGTGTGTATGCATGCATGCTTGTATGCATGCATGTATGCATGTATATATGCGTGTATGTATGTATGTGTGTATGTGTGTATTTATGTATGTGTGTATGCATGCATGCATGTTTGTATGTATATATGCATGTATGTATGTATGTATGCATACATGTGTGTATGAAGGTATGAATGTGTGCATGTACATATATATATATATATATGTGTGCGCATGTACGTGTACATGCATGCACGCATGCATGAATGTATGTGCGTACTTACATGTGTATGTGTGTATGTGTGTGCATGTATGCATGTGTGCATGTATGTAGTTGTGTGTGCATGTATGTGTGTATGTATGCATGTATGTATGTATGCATGCATGTGCGTATGTATGTTTGCATGCATGTATGTATGTGTGTATGCATGTGTGTATGTATGTGTGCATGCATGCATGACTGTTTGTATGTATGCATGTGTGTATGTATGTATACATTTGTGCATGCATGTGTGCATGCATGTATGTATGTACGTATCCATGCATGAATGCATGCATGCATACATGTACTTACGTACATACATATGTATGTATGTATGCGTGCATGTGTGTGTGCAAGTGTGTAGCTGTGCATTTATGTATGTATGTGTGCATGTATGTATGTGTGTATGTATGCATGCATGTATGTCTGTGAGTATGCATGTATGTATGTGTGTATGTGTGTATGCATTTATGTATGTATGTATGTATGTATGTGCGTATGTGTGTATACATGCATGCATGTTTGTATGGATGTATGTATGCGTGTATGTATGTATGTGTGCATGTATGTTTGTGTGTATGTATGTATGTACGTATACATTCATGCATGAGTGCAGGCATGTATGTACGTACCTACATGTGTATGTATTTGTGTGTATGTATGTATGTATACATGTATGTATGTGTGCATGCATGTTTGCATGTAAATGTATATGAATGTATGTATGCATGTATGCATGTTTGTATGTATGTGTGTATGAATGTATGTATGTATATGTGTATATATGTATGTATAGTTGTGTGTATGTATGTATGTGTGTATGTATGTATGTATGTATGTATGTATGTATGTATGTATGTATATATGTATATATGTGTGTATATGCATGCGTATGTATATGTAGATGTATGTGTATATGTCGATGTATGTATGGTTGTATGTATGTATGTATGTATGTATGTATGTGTGTATTTATACGCACACTATATGTGTGTGTGTGTTTGTGTGTTTGTTTGTTTGTTTGTTTGTTTGTTTGTTTGTTTGTATTTGTGTGTTATGTGCCCTGTGCTGTGTGTTGTGTGGTTTCTGGTGTGCGGCGTGTTTGTGTGTGTGCGTGGCTGCGCGCGTGCTTGCGTGCGTGCGTGTTTGTGTGCTTGTGTGTGTGTGCGTGTGCGCATGTGTGTGTGAGTGCGCTGCCCCTTTCCCTGCCGCCGGCCTCGTGGCCTCGTGGCCCTGCCGTCCCCCGCTGCCGTTGACCGGCGGCCCTCCGCTGCCCGCCGGCCCGGCCCCGCCCCGCTCCCGGCTCGCCCCGGCGCCCGCCCGCTGCCCGCTGCCTGCTCGGCGCCCCTGCGCCGCTCCCCGCCACCGCCCCGTGTGAGGGGCCGGCCGCTTTTCATTTTTCTCGTTCTCCTCTCGGACTGCTGGGCGCGCCCGCGAATCTCTGCGCGCGGACCGGACGGCGTGGCGCTGCGCCCGCCCGCGACGACCGGAAAGTGTGTGCGTGCGTGCGTCCTTGGGTGTGAGTGTGAGTGTGTGTGTGTGTCTTTGTGTCTGCGTCTGTGTGTCTGTGTACGTGCGTGCGTGCGTGCGTGCGCGCGTACGTGCGTGCGTGCGGGCGGGCGGGCGTGCGTGCGTGCGTGCGTGCGTGCGCGCTTGTGTGTGTGCGCGTCACATGTCACGGGTCTCACATGCCTCGGGACGCGAGGTGTCACACGTTCCAGGAAGTCTGAGGTGTCTAGCGGCCCCCCTGACCCCCCTCTCTGGAGCCTGTACGGAACAAAGAAACCTTGGATAACTTGGGCTCCTCCGATCCCGTGCGCCCCCCGAGCAGTCGCCACTCAAGGCGCTGGGCTGGCACGGTGGCGGAACTCGGGCGCACGCTAACATTAGGTCGGGCATGTCCTCCTCAGGCGGATTCTGGACGAAAAACAAAGAACAGTCGCAGCATACTCAAAAATAATCAAAAGACAATCGACAACAAATAGTATGCCTCCTGTAGAGGGACACGCCCGACTTAACGCTAACATGGATCGGAGAGGCACCCCCGACACATGAGGCCAATACCGCCTCATTGGGCGACAACGCGCGCCGAGTGTGCATGGGAACGGAACCCGTCGCTGATCCACGCGCCTTGATCCATGTTAGCGTTCTCTCGAGAAATTTGCCACAGGCAGCCGGATATATCGACGAGCTTCCTCCACCCCTGGCTCACCTGGACCTGCTGCAGCCCGCTGCGGCCAAACGTCTCGCCGCGGACGCACTCGTCGAGCGTCCCGAAGGCCAGCTGCAATATGCCCGCGACTGCGCCGCTCCTCCGAGGGGGGAGGATATTTAGACAAGGGGCCCAGGAGTTCCTCCTCCTCCTCCTGGTCCTCGAGGAACTAGGGAGCCCACAAAGGACGTACGCGCCCAGCTATGTACATGAACACGGCCCCTTGAAACGCGATACCGGCCGCGTTATACGAACATTTGCGCAATGCGTGCTCTCGAAACCAGCATGGATTCATGTACATGTACGTCCTTTTTTCGCTCCTGAGGAACGCCCGGCCGCCTCGACGCGGGGAACGTCCAACCACCTCGGCGCTGGACGTTCCTGCCGTTGGCGCCAGCGGGGGACGCCAGGCTCAGAGCGGGCCCGCAGAGTTCCGATGGTCAGCAATCGGTATCCGCGCGCAAGGGGCGGCGGGGGCGAGGGGGATGAGGAGAGCCTGAGAGAGAGAGAGAGAGAGAGAACGAGGGAGACAGAAAGAGAGAGAGAGAGAGAGAAAGAACAAAGAGAGAGAGAGAGAGAGAAACCAAAAAAAAGAGAGAAAGAAAGAGAAAGAGAGAGAGAGAGAGAAAGAGAACGAGAGAAAGAGAGAGAGAGAGAGAAAAAAAAAATAATAATAATCCGGCGGGGAGCTCATCCCGGCCGTCCTGGAGACTGGAGGCCGGCCAGCGGACGAGCTGGTCGCCTTCGTCCGCTCCTACGGCCGGGACCTGCCAAAGACCGCGCGGTCGGGCCTGATGTCCTCCACCTGGAGGAAAATGCAGCGCTGCTTGGCTTTCGGCAACGCGGAGATGCTGCTTAGCGCGGCGAAAACAGCCAAGCAGCAAGGCAGCCCGACACCCACCACCACCAGCGCGACCAGCACGACTACCACCGCGACCACCACGACCTTCGCGACCAAAGCCACCGCGACCACGACCCACGCCCACGCCCACGCCCACGGCCGCCCCCCCGCCCCCGCCCCCCGCCCCCGCGAACACGCCCACAACCACGCCCACGACCACGCCCACGGCCACGCCCACGACCACGCCCGCGACCACGCCCACGACCGCCACTGCCCCCCACGCGTCGCCCCCCACGGCCGCCCAGGCCCCCGCCCCTTCCTTCGCTCTCCCTGACCCTGCTTGGCCGCCCCTGCGCCCCACTTTGAAGGGGCCTTGGGACACACAAATAAAATACACACAAATCACAGGATTCCCCATATTTCCCCATATTTTCTAGGTTTTTGTCTTCCCCCCCACTTCCCATCTTTTCCCATATTTTCTGGGGAATCGCCGATTAATTGTGTCTGTGTGTTTCTTTCCCTGCGGACACTTCTTCCTCCCTTCTCCTCCCCGCATATTCTGGCACTACTGTCCCGCGCAACCTGACGTGGTTTGGCACCAGGGGGCCGCCGCCAGCCGACCCTGCCCGGGCCTGGTTGTCCCCTGAGTGCCGGGACTTTCCTTCCTCCCCCTCCCCCCCAACAGACAGAGAGAGAGAGAGAGAAACAAAAAGAGAGAGAGAGAGAGAAAGAGAAGGACAGAAAGAGAGAGAGAGAGAGAGAGAGAGTGAGAGAGAGCCGCAGGAGGCGTCCAGAGAGGGCGGGGGCGAGCGTGCGAGGGCGGAAGGGCCCCCCTCTCGCCTGCTCAGCCTGCGCGCGCGGCGCCGGCGGCGCTGGGACGAGGCGAGCGCAGGGACGAGGCGAGGGCCTCGCCGGCCCCGCCCGGGGCCGCGGGCTGGGGCCGCGGATCTCCACAGAGGACTGCAGATGTGGATGCCACGACAATGGACACAAAATGAATCTAAAAAGGTGTTCAAACTGTCGGGAAAATGTTCTAAACCTGTTTTAAGCATGTCTTTACATGTTGAAGACATGCTTCACACATGCTTTAGACATATGGAATCTATTTGGCAACATGCTTCCTCTCCATTGGTCGTCCTCCACAGGGACGTCATAGACATAAAAGAAGAGGACTGCAGGATTGCACGAGAACGGAGATCTCCTGGAGTATTGCAGGATTGCGCGAGAACCAAGGACGATGAACTCTTACCCCCCCCCATCTAGGGGAACGAAGAAAGACGTAAACGTAACAACTCGGAGGTCCGCCGCCGATCCGAGAAATCCGCGCGGACCTCCGAGTTTTTTGTGTTTATGTCATTCTTCGCTCCCCCTCCTCCTCCTCCTCCTCCTCCTCCTCCTCCTCCTCCTCCTCCTCCTCCTGTTGCCATCTTCCATTCTAGTTTCTAGTCCCCTCCGCATGTCTCTGTACGCCGGATGGGGGGGTAAGAGTTCATGGTGATGATACGTTCCACGATTTCCAAGGTTCCCAGGATATCCGAATGCTCCGCACGGGCTGCAGCGAGGAGGACCGCTAGATACGGTGGCATTCCAGGAACGCATCGTGAGCCAATCCTACCATGACATATCATGACATCATTCTCGTCCTAGAGAAGGCGTCGAACTCCCTCGGAAACCGCCCCATCCCCCGCGTCGCGGAGGTGGCGGAATTAGCTGTCCCGATACGCAGCACACGACACGCAGCGTATTGATACGGAACTCAACACGTATAATGAACAACGTGGATCTGACGCGATACGATCGCCAAACCGTGGTCCAACACGTTGAGCCAGCACGGAACGTATGGACACGGACGTTTTGACCACAGCACGTGTTGCGTATCAAAACGGGCGTATCGAGGCAGCCAAGAGGGCGGAGCCTCGGGCATGATCCGTTTGCCGGGGCCCGCGTCTCCGGCGGAGTGGCACCGCTGGGGACTCCTGCTGTTTCTTCGCCCACTGCATCCCCAGCTCCACCTGAGGCCAGGGCTGTCGAGCGAGGTCGGGCGCTCTGGGGTATGACGCGGTGCGCCATCGTTCCCCCCGACTCGCTGGGACGACGGGAAGGGGGGAGAGCAGGAGGATAGCGAGGGGAAGGGGGAGGGGACTCCTCCTCCTCCTCCTTCTCCTCCTCCTCCTCCTCCTCCTTCAAGTTCTCTTCCTTGAGCGGGCTGCGATTGCCGCGGGCGCGGCGGCGTAGTCCAGCGAACAGGCCGCCCGAGGCTGCTGGGGGGCCAGGACTGCCGCCGCGCGCCCTGCCTCGCCACCGACATGGACCCAGCGGCAGCGGGGCGGCAGCGGCGGTCGTCACTGCGTGGCGACAGCAACTTACCTACGAGCACTTGTCTTTGAGCCTCGTGGTCCGATGTGCCTGGACGCGGCGGGCGCGCCAGCGCGCGACGGCGTCGCGGCCGTTGGGCAGCGCAGGGAGGTCGGCGGCCTGGTCATCTTCATAGACGTGCACGGCGGGTTCCTACCTGGCGGCGTCGCAGCAGCCGCCGGGGGCCAAGGGCTGCATGTCGCCCTTCGGCGCGACGTCGATCCTGACCGCTTCACAAGGCCAGTCCGTGGCCTCCAGCCCTGACTCGGCTTCTTGATCCAAGATCTCGGCCATGCCGTTTGCCGCGTCATGGCGCCGCATGGCCAGTCGCAGTGCGACGGCGGCGACGCTGGCGGCAACGCCAATCTCCGCAGCATGCCAAGTAGGGGAGGAACGGGAAGCTGCGCCAACAAGCCTCCCCCGGTGAGGAGAAGCAGCACGAGGGTCAAGCCTCGGCGTGCGGTGGGCTGGGCACGGGCCCAAACATCCGCGATGGCCTCGGCGCGGAGGGCGGCGTACTCTTTGCAGCGGATCACGCCGTCCTTGCACTTGAAGCTGGGGCCGTGGCAATGGTGAACCTCTTGGGTTCAACCCGCTCTAAGCGCTTCCGCATGGCGCGCGAGCTAGCTCCCTCCACGGCGCTGTAAATGATCCAACGCACTATTCGATCAATCCGCTTCCACCTCCTGGGGGGCGATGCGGATCCGCGCCACGTGCCCGTCGATCCTCACGAGGACGTTGTCGTACTTGCGGATCGCCCAGCCCCTCTTGATCTTGTTGGCACAGTAGTCGGTGGTGGTAGTGGGCCCAGTCGCCAGCCCCGTTCAGGTCACTGCCGTCGGCTGCAGCTTCGCCAGCGGCCGAAGCTCATCAACCTCTGCTGCGCCTGACGAGCGTCCGGAGCAGGTGCAGAGACTGAGGCTGCCGCGGGCGAACCAGACGCACCAGGTGTACGGGGCGAGGATGGTCCTCAGGCTGTGCGCCACAAGGGCTACGATGCCGGCGAGGCTCAGGGCGAGGCCGAACCCCACGACGATCGGCCACGCCGCGCCGAACATGTAGACACCCCCGGAATCCGTGAGGTACACGATCCCGCCGGCGTCGGCGCAGAGCTTGCAGGAGTCCTTCTGAATGGAGAAGACGCCCGGGAAATCCTCTCATCCGTCTCGAGCGCACAGCCTCCTGCCCCTTGGGCTCTCCAGGACCAGGTGTCGCTACCCAGAGATTCCCATCTCAGGATCCACCCTGACTCCAAATCCGCCCTTCTTTGTTTTTTTTTCCAACTTAAAACTGCGTCGGAAACCCACTTATAAGAAGCCGAAAAAGTAGGGCGGATCCGGAGTCAGGGCAGGCTGCCGAGCCCCGGCTGGCGCGCCCCGGCTGGCGCGCCTGCTCCCGCGGCCGGGGCGAGCAGCAGGGCGGCCGGCAACGCCGCGCGGCCGCCGGTCGCCGACGCCGCGCGGCGGCCGACCCTTTCCTCCCTGCGCAGCAGGGAGAAAGTGCCTGCTGCGGCGGCCGCGCCGCTCCCGGCAAGCCACCAGGCTCCATGCGGCATGGCGTGCGCCGCCCAACGTCAGCTGCTGGTGTCCCGGAATCTCGTGGGCGTCTGGAGGGGGCCTCCGGAGAACCCGGCCTGAAGACACCTGAAGCCGATCCCCAGTTTGACCCAGGAAGGCGTGAGCCCCAGAGGGGAAAACAAGAGAAAGAGAGAGAGAGAGGCAAGCAAGAGCACAGGAACAAGAGAAGAGGAACAACCAGCGTATCCCAGGAGGCTGAGAAAGACTAACGCGCAACACAAACAACAAAACATGTGGCCAACTCTGCAGCGGGAACACAATTTCGGAATGACCGCGGATGTTCGGAATGGAAGAAGATAGGAAGTGCTAAAACGTAATGGGGTCCGCGGATACAGCGGAAGACGTGGGGGGGGGGGAAACCTGAACAGTCAGCGGAAACAGGGATCATGTCGTGTAACTCGGAGTCGAGAGCGGAAACAATCCGTTTCCACAGTCTCGCGGGCTGGGCCCCCGGGGCTGCAACCCCGTGTGCAAGAGGTGTTCTCTTGCGGATGCACTGCGCGGAACGTACCCACGCAACCGCGTACAGTATCCGCGGGATCGCGCCCCGGAAGCCACACCGCGCGGGCGTGGACACGGATGCGGTCGGGAGCTCTGGGACAACGTGTCGCCACGGCGGCCGTGGCGACACGCTGGGCCTTGCGAGGCGATGGCGTGTCGCTACGCTTGGCGGGGGGGGAAGCTCGGAGAAACCCGTGACGTCGACGCTTGGGGGCTCGGAAATGTAGAGCGTGTCGCGCCGAAGCGTTGTGGGCCAGAACCGGCGGAGCGACACGCTACTCGCTGAGGGTTCGCTCGCTGTCGGCTAGTCGAGGCGACCGAGGACGCGGCGACGTAACCCTAGGAGGCGCCCTTCATCCCAGGCCTGTCCTGGGCACTCGAGGGCCTCGAAGAATCTGATTCGTGGTGGGGTGCCTACCTTGCCACAAACGTTTCAGACGGCCAGCTAGGACCCTAGGATTACCCCCAGGGCAACAGGAAAGCAAACCTTTCCATCGGTCCCTGGCGTACCTGGCACACCTCCGACAGAAAACTACCCTAAGCAGGCGCACCATCTGGTGGCCTTCGGCACGGGCCCTCTGGATCCGATCTCCGAGCTCCCCGGGAGGCGCGGGGGGGGGGCCACGGGGCCGGGTGGGGGCTATGGCGGGCCCGCAAGGTCCTCCACTCCCCTACTAGGCGTCGGGGGGGGGGGGGGGGCGGCACAGGGCCACAAGGGGCCCAGGGCCCACGGAGGTGTCCTCGAGCCCGCGGCCGAGGACCCCGACGTACGCGGCAAATTCCAGAATATCTGAAATCAATATGTACCTCTGAACGTAAGTGGCCCTATGCCAGGCCTCATGCTGATTCATCAGGGCCCCGCGCTTCGCGCGGGTGTCTGCGAGATTATTGCCAAGGCAACGCTGGGGCCCCATCTGAGCCCTTTGGGCCCTGGTGGCGTGTGCTTTGATTTTGTGCAGTGAGATTCCTAGCGGCCCTATCCCTCCGTTTTCTGCTACGAGCCTCCAACAGCGCAGCCAAACCTCTTTGTGGGCTGTGTCTGCGCGCTCGGCCCATGCGGGCCCTCTCTCGAAGCCGTCGGTCACGGCCTTGCAGTCCGAATGAATCCTGACTGGCGGGCAGGCCCGCTCGAGGACCTTCGCGATCGCCACCAGCTCGCTCTTGCAGATGGACTGGTCGCTCTGGGGGCCCTCGAGCGGGCCATGCATAGCGCGCTGCATCTCGCGCTGCTCGTCCAGCTGGACGAGGGCCCAGCCTCCTCGTCGTAGGGCTGGGAACCCGCCTTGCAGGAGGCCCCCGTCGGTGTTAGACGCCCCCGTGCACGAACCCGATGAAGTCGCCCTCCACGGCGCTGGTGCCCCTGGAGGGCAGGCCCCACAGCTTGAACTCCTCCGCGGGGTCGGGCGCCAGGCCCCGCCCCCAAGGCGCCTCGGATGCAGCACGCTGCGCCTCCGACGCTCCAGGCCGCCTTGCAGCCCCGCGGTGGCATATGTGATGCCCTCCGACAGCTCGTCTCTGTTCAGCTCTGGCCGCGCATGCGAAGGTCCTGTGGCGGTCCGTACCTGCTCCGTCATGGCACGCCTTGCTGATGTTGTCCTGCGCGGTGCCCATGTCGTGTAGCCGCTGCTGCAGCCATGTGCCTCCGCTCCAGAGGCTGCGCACTCTCGTCTGATGCTCCAGCGTCCAGCGTCCAGCTCCCAGTCCGCTGTCGCTTGAGCAGCGCTCGCACGGGCTCGACGAACAAACTGGTGATGCCGTGCGTCTCCCCGTGCTTGGCGAGCCACTTATGCTTGAGGCTGTCCTCCGTGGCCCTGCGGGCGCGCTGCTTCGATTCCCTGATCGGGAGTGTCCAGAGGTCCAGGGCCTCCTCGCCTATGGTGGTGCTGTGGGCTGCCTGCGTCTGCCAGCCCAGCCTCTTCGCCGTCGCCGCGAAAGCCCCCGCTGGCCCTCGCACCTGCAGGCATGGGTCTTGGCGCGGCCCACTCGGTATACCCATTTCTTCCAGCCGCCCTGGCGCTGGCGCTGCAGGCCTGGCTGGCCGTCGACCTCCTGCCACGCCATGGTCCAGTTGACCAGCGGCTCCGTGTCAGCGCGGATGCCTGGGTCGGCGTCCTCGCCTAGGAGCACCAGCGGCGTTGACCCGCCCATGGCGTTGCCCCTGAAGGAGGTCGCCACGCTCTGCCGCAGGTGCACCAGAGTGGAGCTCGCCATGCCCATGACCTGCACCCCGTACATGGCAGATGGCACCTTGCCCTGCCTGATGATCGCCTGCGCGGGGCCACCCGCGCGTCGCGTGCGCGCGATGCGGTCTCGCCGCGCGGCATACATGCTCGCCCTCTTGCGGAAGGCGCTGACTCGTCATCGCGTGCCCGCTGCTGCGGCGACGCCCAGGTGGTCGGCGCGCCGCACCATCCTGACGCCCGGCGGTCCCACTCGCTTGGCGAGGCCGTCCTGCAGCACGGTGGTCGAGGCCATGGTGACTGTCTTGCCCTCCGCGCCTCCGGGGACCTTCATGTCCAGTCGCTCGAACGTGTCGATGAGCCGCTGCACGACCTGCGCATGCCAGCGCTGCACGGACATCCGCGCTCCTCTCGTGGCGACCGCGAGGTCGTCGAAGAAGAGGCGCAGCCATGCCCATGGGTAGTCCGCGGCCGCGCCGTCGAGCTCCCCGCAGATGGCCATCTGGAGGCAGAAGGGCGCGAGGCGACTGCCCGCCACGATGCCTCGCGCCTAGCGTCTGCCCTCCGCGCATGCGTTGTCCAGGACGATGCGGCGCGCCATGGAGTAGATGCTCAGCACCATCTTGACGATGACTCTGTTGAGCCCTGAGCGGGTTCCCGCGTGCCGCACCTTCTCGTGCGTGACGTACCCGAAGCACTTGACCAAGTCGAAGTACGTGACCGCGTGCCCCATGCCCTCGGCCACCTTGGATTCGCAGAACAGCGCCTGCTCCCACGCGGCCCTCTCGCTGGACCGCCCGCGCGCCGCCCAGTCGCAGGGCCTGCGGTGGACATCCCCCCAGCGCCTGGCGCACGGCATGCGGATCGTCTCCCGCGGCCTCGCCAGCTCTGGCATCAGGCGCAGGTTGCGGAAGCCGCCTGCCGCCTTCGCCATCAGGTAGAAAAGGATGGTGTCCTGCGCCTGCGGCCGCGGCGTGCCCGCCCCCCAGCGCGTTGAGGGCGCTGGCGATCCTCGCAGCTCCACGGGCTCTGCCCTCGCCCCGCCGGCGCGAGTGCCATCCTGACTCGCCGAGTCCCGTCGTGTGCCTGAATCGGTCGCGCGCCTCCAGCACCTGCTTCGGGGCGATGGGCCGCGGCCCGTGCCCCGCCCACTCGCGGGCGGTGGGCGGCTGCAGCCGCGGGGCTCGGAGATCCAGGGGGTCGCCCCAGGTGCTCTCCCAGCCCTGCAGCGCTGCCTCCGCGGCCTTCTGCGGATTCGCCAGCACGTGGACCCCCATCGCTGTCGTCGGCCCCCCAGCCCGTCTGCGGCTGCCACGGAGCGGAGGCCTTGGTCCACTTGCGTAGCGCGCCCGCTCCTTGCGCTCCGTGCTTGGCCACCCGCTGTCTCCACTGCGCTGCTGCTGCGCGGTGGGCCATCTCCCAGTTGCGCCTGCTGGCGAGGTCCAGCAGGGCGGCGATGTAGCCCGGGTAGCGCCGGGCGCCCTCGTCTATGTTGCCGAGGCGCATGTCCTTCAGCGTGTGCGCCATGAGCGGCCAGCTGATCATGTCCCGTGTGATGTGGGCCTCCTGGGCCTCCGTGTCCCTCAGCTCTTCTCCTTCCAGCTCGCCGCCTTCTGGAGCGTCGTTCCCCTCTGCGGTCTGCCCGGGCGCCTTCGCCGCAAGCAGCGGGAGGGCGATGTCTTGGCCGAGGAGGTCGTCTGCGATGTGCTGCCCCCAGGTGCCGCCATCTTCCCTCTGCCGCCATGCTCGGGCCAGCGCCTGCAGCTGCCTGAGCCGCCGCGCCAGTCACTCGGCGCCCTCGGCCCACTGCTGCTGCTCCGCGGCCGCTGCGCACGGCTTGGGCCGGCGCTGCTGCCACTTGTAGTTCGCCCTCTCGAAGTGGCCCTGTCGCTTGCTGAGGTCCTCGCCCACGAAGCCGTGGTACCTGTTCGCGTGCTTCTCGTAGGCGCTCCCCAGCTCGCTCCAGTGCCCGTCGACGTGGCCCCGCGTGTACTCCCTGTTAGCGGCCTTGGCCAAGCCTCTGGCCGCGTCGGGCACCCCGTCGGCCGCGTCATTGGCCAGGGCGTCCGCTTGCACAGCGCGTAGATATTGCCGGTGTCGCGGTGGCGCACAGGCAGTGCAAGCTTCGCTGGCAGGCGCGGCGCCGCGTCGTAGCCTTCCATCACCTGTACCTCGAGCTTCTCCGACGCCAGGCCCCGCGAGACGATGAAATAGTCCCGCGCGCTCCTCTCGCCGTCTAGCCTCACGCAGTTACCCATGTTCGCGTCGGGCACGATGACCCCGTTCACGCTGCCGACGATGTCCGAGTTCTCCAGCACCTCGGGGCCCGCGTCGAAGTCGCCCCCGAATATCCATTCCTGCTGGGGTGCGTCCATGGTGGGGCCCCACTTCGCCGGGATGCGCTGGTTCAGCGGCGCGGGGCCCTCGCTGTGCCACTTGTAGGCGGCCCCGCAGATGAGGCCTGTCCTGCTGTATGCATCAATCCATGCCACCGCGAGTCTGCCCTTGGACTCGCGCGGGCTGATGTCCCACTGGTTGATCCCCTTGCGCGCGAAGTCCATGCCCCTGCTTCGTGCCGTCGTAATCAAAACTCCAGCGCAGAGGCCTGGCTCGGTCATCGCACTGCTCACGACTCCTATATTCCATCCCTGCTTGCGCATCCGTGTCTGGAACAGCACTGGCCGCGCGCCGCTGGCCTGCTGCTCTTGTCCCAGGAGGATGGCGTCCATATGCGTCCATGTCCTCGCGCTTGACCTGCTTCATGGCGCGCTCTAGCGAGCCCACTGTGTTGGCGTTGATCGTGCACGCAGCGAGGCTCGCCTTCGGCCCTCGGCGGTGGGCGCCGCCGCTACCCACGCTGGGGAGCCACAACTTCTTGCTGATGGTGATCGTGTGGCCTGCCTGCAGCTCGCCAACCAGATACTTGAGAGCACCCACCACCTTGCCAGCCTGCTCAGGAGTGACCCCCGCGGGTACGAGGGCCTTGCTGACGCCGAGCTCGCTGGCCCCCGCCTCGGGCTCGATGAGGTCCTCCTTGGCTTCTCCGCCGCCAGGGCAGCGCCGCTTCCTGGTGTCGGAACTGGCGCTGCAGTCCCTGTCGGCTCTGTCGCGTGCTGCTCGGGCTGCCCGCTCCTCTTCTGCCTTCTTGAGGCGGTCGGCGTGCTTGGCGGCCGTTTCCTCCTCCTTCTTTTTCTGCTCCCTGGCGTGGCCCAGCGCGGCCGCAAGCTGTTCCTGCTGCTCGGCCCCGCTGTCCAGGCACTTCTCCGCTTGCTGCAGGAAGGCCAGCGCTGCTGCCTATCCCTTGCCTGGGGTGGGAACGCCAACTCCTCGATCCGCTTGCTGAGGCCGTCCAACTTGGTGTTAAACCGCTTCATATTGGCTCTCTCGTCCGTGAGCTTCTCCTGCGTCGTTGCCAGCTCCTTCTCCAGCGAGTCGACCTTCTGCTGGCAGCGCTCCTTCTGGTCTGCAGCTCTGTTGCGATCTCGTACCACTCTGCACTCCGTGAAGCAGCGCGGCACTCCGTTGTCCAGTGATGCCTGCTCTGCGGCGAGCTTCTCCTCGAGCTGCGCCACCTGCGGCTGCAAGGCCTCCTCCAAAAACGGGTCCTGGCCCTCGGCGAGCTTGCGGAGCTCGGCAAGCTTTGCACGGTAGTGCTGTACCTTGGCGGGCTGCTCGTCGTGGTGCTTGTCATCGTCTGTGTCCCTGGCCGCGCTGTAATCAGCTGATCGTGTCCTGTCGGTCGAGCACCCCAAAAATTTCCAGCAGAAGCCGTAGCGTGCACCGTTGTATACCTTGCATGGCTCACAACGCCATTTCTTGTTGCTGCCTCCGCCGCCATTCTGGGTCTTGATAGCAACCATCCGAATCCTGTGGCTCCGACGCTCGTGGCCACTCTGAAATTTGAGTGTCAGTACGCGCGGGTGCCTCCTGCAGGCGAAAGGGCGCCCGAGCGCACAATGGCTGAGGAGGCGGAGGAGGAAGAGGAGCATGAGGGAACAGGACGGAGGAGGAAGGGGGAAGATGGGAGGAGGAGGAGGAGGAGGAGGAGGAGGAGGAGGAGGAGGAGGAGGAGGAGGAGGAGGGAAGGAGGATACGAGCACGAGGGGGGAGGAGGAGGGGGGAAGGTCGGGGGGGAGGGGGGCAGGAAGGCTCGCCCCACCTCTCCTTGGTCCGGTTGCGGTCGTAGACCCGCCGGGTGGCCGGCTCCCCGCGGCCTCCGCGGTCCGCCAGCACGCGCCCGAGCTGCAGGTCGCAGGCGTGGACTTCCTCGGCGGGTGCCAAGGAAACACCTTCGGAAAGAGGAGGAGGAGAAGGAGGGGAGGAGGAGGAGGAGGAGGAGGAGGAGGAGGCGGAGGAGGAGGAGGCGGAGGAGGACGAGGAGGAGGAGGAGGAGGACGAGGAGGACGAGGAGGAGGAGGAGGAGGAGGAGGAGGAGGAGCAGGATCGTTACCAGGCGGGGGAGGGTCGGGCGGGACGGGAACGGTAGCGGCGGCCGCGGCGTGCACCCGCCAGGGTGCGTCCGCGCCGCCGGCGCATCAATCGCCTGCGTGCACCACAGCATGGCGGGTGGGGGTCCAGGCCCCCCCTCCCCCGGTACGATCGTTAGCGTTACCGTAACATTTTTCCCGTAACATTAATAAATAGTTTTGAACTTCTGTAATGTAACTGCATAATATTACTGTAATGACTCAAGGTAAACTGAAAACAGGAACTCAAAATAAGCAAACATATATGTAAATGCAACAGAACAAAGCAGTGAAGGACAGGAGAACAGATCAGGTACCTGGGGAGGGGGGGGGTTGGGCTGGGTAACGAGCGTTACGCTGACGTTGGGGAGGAAAGAAAAGGCTCGCTTCGGAGGCGGCGACGGGGCGACCATAAGACGAGGCCAGGACGAGGATCAATTCGAGTGAGGATGAATCGGGAATCTCTGAGATCCGGCGGCGTTGGAGGATGCCTCGGGCCTCGCGGCCTTCTCAGAGCGTCCCGTAACGCTCTGAGAGCGTTCTGGAACGCTCTGCTCTGGAACGGATCTATCCTCGTCCTAGCCCCTCCCGAGAATAGCTCAAGGGAGAACAATGCATGGCCCGTTCCGGAAACCCTGAGCCCAAAAACGTGTCCGTGTCTCGGGGATGCGTCGCTGGCTTCCGTCGGCTTCCGCCGTTGGAGCCGCCCCCGTTTTACTTCCGTCGGCTTCCGCCGCCACTCCGCCGAGGAAGAGGTGGCAACTCCTTCGACCCTCGAAGGCGAGGCCCCTTCTGGAACGCCTCACGTGCATCCAGGGGCGCCGGCGGTCCACGTCTTCGGCGAGGCTCCAGGGCGAATGCGTGCAATGCCCGCCCCTTGGCTATTCAACCCAGTCGTCGCCTCCGACAGCTTCGCTCCCTGGGAGGCATGCCAGGAAAACCCTCACATGCATCCCCGAAGCTCCTCGCAGGCCAGGCACGGTGCCACGATTCTTGACAAATGCACTGTTCTGGGGGTCGACGGAATGGCGTAAGCCTCTGGGTTTCTGTCCAGCAAACTTCGCTCGAGGCTCGAGGCTTCGAGCTGCAAGGTTTCAGCGCGGCGTCGTCGGTGCTCGGCGGCTTCCTGGCAGCGGGGCGCCTTCCAGGAAGTGTGCCTCGCCAGGGGCGTCCTGGGGGTGCCCGAGTCGTCCTGGACGGCCGCTGGAGAGCCGAGTTCGCCATGGCCCGAAATCTGCGCGCCTCCTCCTCCTCCTCCTGCTCCTCCTCCTCCTCCTCCTCCTCCTCCTCCTCCTCCTCCCCCTCCTCCCCCTCCTCCTTCCTTCTCCCTCCCTCCCTCCTCCCTTCTCCCTCCCTCCCTTCGCCGAAGCTTCTGCTGCGCGCCGCGTGCGGAGCGACGTGGCGTTACCGTCAGGAACTGAATTGTTTCGCACGTCGCCGCGGCGGCCCCGGCGGCACGCCGTGTGCCCTGCAGGGGGGCAGCGTGCCGCTCCGCGCCGCGGGGCGAAGGGGCTCTCGGGAAGGCCCGGCACGCGGCCGCCTCGGGACCGCGGAGCGGACAGCGTGTCGCGCCGAAGCGCGGCGGGACAGAAGCAGCCGTCCTACGGTCTCTGGCCGTAGCGTCGCGCACTCGCGCGCCGCCCCCTGGAGGAGGAGACCTCTGGAGCCGACAATGCCGCGAGGCACGAATCGTTGGCATCGATGCGCCGCGAACTGCGGGATACCTGGGCAGGCTGGCATGTCCCCCGACCTTCCCATCCAATCCCATCGACACCGAAGGAGAGAAGAAGAAAGAGGATGAGCAAGAGAAGGAAACGGACGAGGGGTGGCAGCATCCGTCAGGGTACCAGCACCAGCAGTGCCCAACGCCCAGGATGACGAGGTGGAGGAGGAGGGTGATTTACCAGATTACCCACATCTAAACCAGCGAATAAGCTCTTTACTCTGCCCTCCTAGCTCAGGGGACTCTTCTTCTTGGTTCTTCATAGTGGGTTGGTCCTTCATGCTTGCGAACGCTATCGCTGACTAAGTTCTGTTAAGCAGGTATGAAGGAAATTGTATGGAGAAGCTCGCGCGCGTGCCCGCGCGCGCCCCTCTTCCCAGCAGAGCGCAAATTGTGTTCCTGATCCTCAATGTTGTGGCTGCGGACGCAGCGGCGTCAGCAGCAGTGTTATAGCCGCGGCAGCCAACGTCAAACGGACGATCGGCGGCGGCAACAGGTGTTAGCGGCAGGGAGGTAGACGTGAACGCCTCCCCACGCGGCGGGCTACGGTACCACATTGCCTTCGCGCGCCAGCCTCCAGGACACCTCGTCGGAGCGCGCCAACCCCAACAGCGTTTTACAGCGCAGCCCATCCGATTAGCCCCTGCTCCTGCTGCAGAGGCTCGGGCTCAATAGTTCGACGCTGCGTGAACTTAAGTAGGCTGGCCCGCGGGCCACACGGCGCCGGTCGCTCAGCCGCAGTTGCTCTTCCCCACAGCCTGTCTTCGACCCCGTTCACCGTGGGCCACCCTGCCATTCTCGGCCGTGCCAGTTAGCCCGCTGGTCGCTCCCCGAGCCCCAGGCGGCCATAGCAGTGCAGCCCCTCTTCTCGGCACGGTATTGCTCGATAGCTCTCCTGCGTTCCGGCCTGCCCATCTTGGAACGTCTCGCCTGATGCGCCCCGGACCTGGGGATCTTTCTCAGCGAGGCACTCCCATACTGGGGCTCGAAGGCGGCGAAGGGGGGGGGGGGATTTTTTTGTTCAAAGGGTTTGCGAGTGAAAAGGATTTGTCAACGACCACGGCCAGAGACCCTGCGGCCTCCTGCCCCTCTCGACTCCGCGCCAGCCGGCGTGGTCAGCAGCGGCGATGGAGGAACCTCGAGCAGTGGCACCAGCAGCGGACGGTTCAGCACGAGAGATGGACACTCGCCATCGCTCGGACGTCCGTTCCCTGTGTCTTTTTTGGTTTCGTGCGTGGTTTTTTCGCCAAAGGATCAAGGATGCTCCTCGGTGGTCCTCGCCGAGGGAAAAACGCACACGTCCGAGCGATGCCAAGGACAAGGTGGCAGAGTGGCGGCTGCCAGAAACGATCCTGCACCGCAGACGCAGCCGAATTCTCCGTGGCGCGGCTGGCAGGGCACGTGCCCTGCACCCCGTAAATCCCACCAGCCCTTCGGGGCGTGAGTGGCCCACCGCCCCGTGAATCCCACCACCCCTTCCTCTTCGCCTCGGGCAGCTCGGGAGGGAACTGTTCCTCACCGCCTGGGGTCGGGTCCCCAGCGGCAGTGGGATCCCCATCCCGAAGGTCCACCGATTCGACCCACGACACGGCGACCTCGCAGGCCTCCAATAGCGGGAGCCTCACGGACCTGTCTTCCGCAAGCGGGTCCATGGTACACCAGAGCTGGTCAGACTTCTCGACCACGCGATGTTTCCCGCCCTTTTTCATCCCAGTCCTCATGTTCAGCCCTTCGAGCTGTTCAGGGGGTGTGCAGAGACTCCCAGGTGCCACCTTGCCCACACATGGTGAGCAGACCCAAGGTGAATTCCCTGGGCTGCTCGCAGAGACTTCCAGGGCAATTTAACCCTGGCCTCGGGAGGAGGAATGTTGCCCGAATTCTCCGCCGAGCTTTGTTTTCCAGGGGAGCTTCTCCGAGCCCTTCTCTACGCTGTATCACAGACAGAGATACCCGATCGCAAAAGCCCAGAATTGCGGCGGGAGCCTGCCGCGAGCAGGAGGGCCCTCCCTCCAGCCTGCACGGCCCTCTTCGCTCGCTCGGCCACCGAGCCCCTGGGACGGTAACATCACGCGCGATCCGAAATTCCTGGCAAGCCGGCGCAAGCTCAAGAGCAACGCCAGGGTACATATACTCTTTCACATATCAGGGTGCCTTCAATATGGTAAGAAGGATATGGCATGCTTAGAGGACTTATCGTAGACCGTGACAGCAGCTAGGAAGTGCGAGTACTGGCCGCGAGGCGTTACGCACGCGGTTTCCCCTCCCCATGCGAAGAGTCCCCGCGAGTATTCGTCGGCCGCGAGCTAGTGATCAACGGTTCACAACCCACCGGATTTCCTCAAATCAGCACATGGCCGTTGGTTCCGGACCCCTTCGTCCTGAGCGCGTGGCTGCTGCAACCGCAGCGCTCCCTCCAGCTTGCAAGCTCTGCAACAAGGCTGCTTAGAATGAGTGAGCAAGTGTGGAAGAGATACAGTGGGGGCTCGGCCACAAGAAACCTCCGCAAGAAACCCAACCCTGAAATCCGCGATTTCAGTGAAAACCCAAATTTGTCGACTGAAAATCGTCAAAATCTTATTGGGGGCACATCCAAATCCAAGAAACCCAGGGCACCCTGGCAAAATCCAACTGGTTTCTTGGCACACGCCCCCACTGTACGGCGTCCAACATCAGACGCTCTTCGCCCGTCAGCTCCGCTTCCGTCCATCTCCAATCCTTCGGCCTCGCCGTCCTCGCCGTCTTCCGCGCCGGCCTTTCGCCCAGCCGGCGCGGCCATGGCCCCGCTCAGCGGCGCAGTCCGCGATGTCACATCGCCTCGATGGCAAGGCCACAGGATGCCATGTGAAACGTTTACGTTGGTGGCCTGGACACGTGAATGTGAAAACACGTGTCTCCAGCTCGGGACCACCATGATAGATTACCCTCTGGGTGGCCTGGGCACGTGAATGTGAAAACACGCGGCTCCAGCTCGGGACCACCATGGTATATTACCTCTGGGTGGCCTGCACACGTGAAAACAAGTGGCTCCAGCTCGGGGCCACCATGCTAGATTACCCTCTGGGTGGCCTGCACACGTG